GGAATGTAAGTAGATTGTGCTGGCCATGTTTTTGTCAGCCTTCTGCTCTTGTGAATTCTCACCAGAACTGCCCGTTGGTTTCTGACTCTAGGGCTTTGGCCTGTTGCCGTTGTCCTCTTTCATGGTCCTTCTCAAATCACAGTTCCAGAAGCCTAGTTGGTACCAATTTTGTGTATTTTTTTATTTGATAGAAACGAGAGGAAAGGTTTGCTGTGTTTCAGTTTCAGAAAGATTTATGTCTGGTTTGGAATGGAATGCAGGGCAAAAGTGTTCTGTCTGGCAGTGGAATGTGTGGTCCTAGTGGAACCAGAAGTAGAAAAAGGCCTGTGGAGTACATTTGAATATTATGTAGTGACTACCAGCTTTTAAAACAAGCACTGCAAATTGTTCTTCATGTAGGCTGCCTTTGTAATTATCCAAATAGGAATTTAATGGCTTTTTCTTCTAGTGTTACTTGTTCATGTCTTTTTAAAAATAATTTGGATTATCAAAATTTCATCTTGTTCATAAACTTTTGAATATGACCCATTTTTTTTTTTCTGAACCCTTCAAAAACTTGCCTTGTTTAGGGTTTTTAAGGGGTCAGTTGTGTGTTGAGTTATAAAATTAATTTCCCCCTGTAAACCTGACTATGTTACTTTCAAGATGAGGGAGTTTCTGGGAAGGGACTGGCTTACATTCTCAGTTAGTGTCACATCATTGCTGAAAGTAGAAGCAACAACATCTGGCCCCTTGAGCAGTATTGTAGTCTACTGTGTTGCTTCCGTCACAAATCGTAACACCCGCACAGCTCTGGCTGAAGTTGGTTAACAGATGAATGCTGATTTAAACATGTCTCTAGTTAAAATAAGCCAGTGGGAGTTCATGCAGACCTTCCAGCCTGGAAATACATATACTAAACCCAGTTTTACACTTGTCATCCTTCTAAGCCAAAACATGTCAAGTGCAAGACTTAAGTCTGCCGCGTGTGTGATCTTTACACTATCTGTAGTTATTTCTGTTTGCGTAGCTTTCTTTACTAAATTTGTTTTACTTTGGGTGATGACTTTAGGCGTTTGAGAATGTCTCCATTCTCAGATAAATCTATTAGAAGTACATAGTCCAGTGAAACACTCCTAGTGCAGTGTTCTTTTTTCTGTCACACTGAAGGTAGGGGCGAGGTAGACCTACCTTTCTAAAGTTTTGGCTTTAGAAGAGGTTGTTTTAGAGCTATGAGTACAGGTCTTCCTGGCAGTAGTCCTGACTGGCCTCAGGGAGTCTAAGAGAGTAAAGGAATGGCAGATGTCACAGCCAGATTGTACTTTTTTCACAGGACCCAGAATATGTCTAAACATAAGTCAGTAATAGTCATCTTTTGTAGGATGGTTGGCTTAATTCTGTGTTTCTTTGTTTTCTCATATCTTAAGTTTGGAAAGTATAGCTCCATCCTTGGAAAAGCTAGGACATAAGTATTTTCTATGTTGTGTAACTTGGGAAGAGATAGTGGACAGCCCACTTCAGTTTGCTTTCTTGCTTTCTGGTTGAAGATGTGATCTTTTAGCTTCCTGATTCAGCTGCCTGCTGACAAGCCTCTTCCCACCATTTTGTACTCTGCCTCTGAAACTGTGAGCCAAAATAAATTCTTCTCTAAGTTGCTTTTGGCTGTTGTGTTTTCTTACAGCAACAGAAAAGTAACCAATACATATACTGTGCTAAAGCTGATCAGTGTTGGTTAGCCACATTGACATAAAGTCTACTGACTTTAGAAGAAGGAAAATTATCAGAGGTAAAGAGACAAAGATACAATCTCCAGTGCGGCCAGTGACTAAGAACACTGTCAAAATATGTAAGGCAAAACCAACTGCAAGAAATAGGTCAGGCCAAGGTCAGCTTACTATTGTAAGTTGGAGACTTCACCCCTTTATTAGAAATTAATTTTTTGGAACCATGTAATCTTGAATTTCCTTTATAAGTTTATGCTAAGTGAAAATTAAAAATACAAACTTGGCAAAATGTTTGTGGAATGGTGAGAGCAAAGGCCAGAGGAGCAGTTAGAACATCTTCTCTATATTTAAAATGAAATTTTTCTTCTCCATTCTGCTAGGTCCTGGATTTCGGTTTCCCGGATTGAGTTCCATTTCTCTAAGGGGCAGCTAGAGCACTTTCGGGCAAGGCCTGAGCACCCTAGGCTGGGGTGTGGAAAAGGTTTTCCACAAAGTGTTAACAGTTTAGTTCTTTTTAGAATGAGTGGAAACTTGGGCGTTTCATTGTGGCAGTGGGAACTCGGGCGTTCCAAAGCCTATGTATGGCATTACAGCTCTTGGTTAAGCTGCTACACTGAGCACGGCAGAGGTGCTGGCGAAAAAGACCACGCCTGGTCCACTTGCAGGGAAGGCACAGGCCTGCTGAGGCCCAGGCCCAGTGAGATGGAAGGCAGGCCCAGGGAGGCCAGGCCCAGCAGGTCAGAGGGCAGGCCAGCTGAGTTGTGGCCCAGAGGGGGATGATGAAACTCAGAAGGCCATAATGGAAGGCTGATTCGATCACGCAGCAGGCAACCCCAGCAGCGTGTATGCGCTCCCAGCACATTTATGTGAAATCAAGGATTTACAAACCTTGGGCAGTGGGCGGGATTTCTAGGGTGAATGTTTTTGATTCACTGGGGTCAGGGATACTTGACTTACATATGCCTCATTTTCCATGCAGTAGCATGGTTCTATCACAAGAAAGGAGAATGCAGTATTAAATTATCCTAGGGGCAAGGGCAAAATCTCTAAGTACTATTGAAGGTCACTGCTAAAGACTAATATCTTTAAGAGGATGGGGCATTTCTAGGGATAGCTAGCTAGCTGAAAGGGTCTGGCCTGTAATCTGCCCTGAGGGCTATGTGACAAAATCTGGGCTTGCCCAGATCAGGGGGACCTTTAAGAATCTTGCTGAGAAAGGGCAGTCTGTCATCATAGACCGAGTGCAAATAAATGGCTATCTGGTGACAGCAGACTTCAACCTAATCCAGCAAAGCCCCCCTCCCCAAATTAAATCTTTTAAAAAAGGATTTACTTATTATTTATACAGCATTTCTGTCTGCATGTGTGTTTGCTTACCAGAAGAGGGCACTAGATCTCACTATAGATGGTTATGAGCCACCATGTGGTTGCTGGGAATCGAACTCAGGACCTTTGGAAGAACAGCCAGTGTTCTTAACCTCTAAGCCATCTCTCCAGCCCCAAAATGAATTTTTTATTCTTAAACAAACAAACAAAAACTGTAAAAAAGAGCAAATTTAAAACAACCCAAAGAAAAAAGAGAGTAGAAGTTGATAAAATGTGAAATTAAAAGTTAATAGAAAAAAAAAAATCAATGAAACAAAAACAAGTTATTTAAAAATATTAGTAAACTCAAGCTTCTAGCCAGGCTCCTAATTCTTGTTATAAAGGAAGTCAAGAATGTCACAATAGCTCCCGTAGTATAAAAAGGATAATAGATACTATTAAAAAATCTCTATACTCTTAAACTTGATAGCTAAAACAAAACAGGCCAATTCTTTGAGAGATACAATGTGCCAAAATTTATATGAGAAAAAAAAAGTGTATTTATGCCTAGTTAAGAAATGGAGTCTGTACTTATATTCAGTAGAATTCATCAAACATTAAAAAAAAAAATTAAAAGGTTTATCCAGCTAGTTCTCTACAGTTCCTTCCAGAAGATGGAAGGGGTGGGAGTGCTGTCTTCATTCTTTGGGTTCAGAATCACCCCAAACACTAAACTCAGACAAAGTCCTTACAATGAAAGATTACATACAGATATCTCTTAGGAACATTGATGCAAAGATCCTTAACAAAATATTAACAGATTTTATCTATAATGTATAAAAGAATTATAAGTGACCAAGCATTTTTTTTTAATGTTTCAATGCTGTTTCAACATTAAAAGACCACAGTGTAATGTATTAGACCAACAGGTTAGGAAGAAAAGTATCACATGATCATAACCATTAAAACAAACAAAAAATGCTTGACAAAATTCAGCACCTTTTCTTGGTAAATTTCAATAGCTGATTTGCCAAAGAAGCAAAGAATTCAGTGCTGTCTGTCTGTTTATGTATGTATGTATGTGTCTAGCTAGTCTACTTATCTGCCTGTGTATCTAATCAAATTTATGTCCTGATACCTAAAGTGAACTATATACACAAACATAAAATGTAAAACTAAGCTCCTCTTCTGTCTGGAGAGCGAGAGACCCAGAACATCCAACATAATATTGAAAGCCAGAAGTCAGAAGGCTGGCTGGAAACTGGATCTGCAATCAAGTTTTAGGTATAACATGAAAAGAAAAGCATAAGTTGAATGTCATTCTTTTTATTTCTATGCAAATGGCACTACCAAGAAAATGAGAAAAAATTAAAACAACAACAAAAGCACCATAGACTGAGAGGGAATACTGGCAAGTGATATAACTGATAAAGACTTTGATTTGAGAGCACATGGGACTCTTAAGGTGCAGCATAAGGGAATGACATTTAAAAATGGGCAATTCAAGTCATGCGGTGGTGGCACACACCTTTAATCCCAGCACTTGGGAGGCAGACGCAAGCTCAAACTTAAGAGTTCCAGGACAGCCAGGGCTATTTCAGCATCAGTCACCCGGGAGTTGAAAATGAGTAAGAAGCCCATGCAAACCCTATTAAAGCACCAAAAAGAAAATTACCAAAGCTGGCAAATTGCTCATTGCTGGTGGAAACAAAATGTACAGTCGCTTAGGAAGATGGTAAAAGTACCTGAAGCTGGCCTCCAGCACTTCCTGTCCACCCTGTCCACAGCACCAAGACTCCCTTCCCTCTTGGCTCCACCTTTAGAAAGAAACCTTCCCCTTTTCATTCTGCTGCCAAACTCTTCCCCAACTGGAACCACTCTAGTGGCTGAGTCAAGAAAGTGAAACAGAGAAATTAGAAAATTATTCTCCTTCAAATCTTCCCATATTCTCTGGTTCACAGAGGACCCTTCTCTAGCTCCCTGGCAACAGAGATGGAGTTTCTTGATCTTTTTCAGTTGCTCACACCTACCGCTAAATTCCAGCCTAAAGAACTGATAGGCTTGGTTCAGGTAAGTAGGGGAGGAGGATTTCCCCAATAAGTGGACTAGAAGAGGAGCATAAGGGGGAAAGAGAAAGGGAGGGTGGGACTGGGAGGTGAAGGAGGGGCCTACAGCCCAGATACAAAGTGAATAAATTAAAACTACAATAATAATAATAATAATTTTAAGAATTCCAGCCTAAGACCCAGAGGACCAGAATTGAGGAATGGAAGGTAAAGACATTTCTAATGTAGATTTCTTCAGTTTTTATCTTTTCTTCTTAATCTGCCCTCTAATGCTTATGTTTTTATATATTGCTTTTTGTGTTTTCCAGATGTTTTAGTTGTAATGCTTAGTTTTTCACTGGAATGTTTGGTGACAGAGGGAGGGGTTGAGATCTATTTGCTTCATCAAATACCTCTGTTGCAGTGGAGTGCATCTTTTAAATTTCTCTATTTTGTCTCTTTTTTTTTTTTTTCCCTTATGATTGGACAAAAAGTTGTCTTGAAATCTGATCTTAGAGTACTATCATTGCTGAAAATACTTTTTTTTTTTTTTTTTTTTCTAGACAGGATCTCACTATCTAGACCAGGGTGGCTTTGAACTCAGAGAGCTCTCCCTGCTTCTGTCTTGGGAGTATTGGGATTAGAGGTGTGTGTCCCACTACTCTCTGCTTCTATTTTGAGTATCTACAAGCCCAACATAATACTTCCTCTCAAAGAGTCCTCAGAACAGACTGAATTATGTTTTGTGTGTGATTTTCATCAATGGACCTGACTCATCGAGATGCTCAATATAGTTTTACTATTAATCAAAGCTCTTGCATCCATTTATCCTAGTAAGGTGTTCTAATTACACAGAGTAGAAACCAAATGGAAGAGTAAAGTAGCTGTGTGGGCTGTGGAGTCACTCAGAAGCTGAGGAAGAGAAAGAGGGGATCACCACGCTGCCTCACAGCTGTGCAAACGGACACAGCTGGGACAGACATGGTGGCTTCTGTGCTGAGATGTGCTGAGAACCCTATGGCTCCTTAGAGGTATTAACCTGGGCTTTTTCTCTTTCCTCCGTGCAGGGGAGGAGGAAAAGCGAGAGCAGAGCAAGAGTGCAGAGAGGACGAATCTGCTCCTTAGTGAAGGTGCGGAGTGCTGCATCCATCTTGTTCAAAAGCCATTTCTGGCCCTAGATTGAACCGAGTTTCATTTACCTGAATCAATCTTTTTCCTGTTCTATTTTAAGTAGAATTAATGTTAGTTGTGGAAGAAAGCACCTTGGAAGCATCTGTCTGTCTAAGTTTCCTGAACTTTAACAACTGGATTCCCTTCCTCCTCTCTGCCTCCTAGTCCTCCAGTCTAGTCTACACCCAATTCTAGAGCCATTTGCAATCGTCAATCCTGCTTTTGAGTTGCCTCCAAAAGAGGTGATTCCTAGTTTTCATCTGCTAAAATTTTAACGTGGATGACCTGTTGAGAGGCTTTTCCTGGTAAGCCCAACTTCATTGGTTCTCTGGATTTCACCAGTGTTTGCACCTCTTCTGGGGTAAGGAGCCCTGTGCATCTGTCTCCTCCATCATTATGAATTGTTGAGAATGTCTGACCTGTCATTCTCACCCTTCCCTCACACACACAGATTTAACCAAATGTATTAAGCCTTTCAAAGCTATGTTTCTTTCTTAGATGCTCATTTTGCTTTTCCTTCATATTTCTAGTGCTGGCCAGGTTTATTAATAATCCATTGTTAAGACTGTCAGATCACAGGATCTACTTGCATTGACATTCAGATTAATAAAGGAGAAAGTGTTGCTAGGCCAACAAAAAATACCCAATGTACATTTTGTAGCCATTAAACCAAAATCTGAGCTGAATATTTTCTGTGCGTTCACACATTTAGTCTTCACTTGAAAGCCTGGTTGTGGTGTGTAAAACTATTTCCTTTTTCCCACATGAAGAAACTAGGGCCCAGAGAAGTCAAATAAGTATAGTTGTATTTTTTTTTTTAAGTATAGTTTTTAAATGGCAGAAGCAGGGCCAGAACTTCTGCCTTTCACTTCCAAGTCCAAATTATCAATGGTTCACTTGGATTGCCTCTTAAGACCTCTCAGGGAGGAGTTTCTTTTAGCAAGGAAGGGTTGTGCTTGATGTTATTGACTAAGGAGAACAGGAAAAGATAATTTTAAGTAATAGGCATAACTACATTCATAGTCTCCCTCTCTCTCCTCTCTCCCTCCCTCCCTCTTCTCTTTCCCCCTGTGCCCCCTTCCACTTCTGTCTCTCCCTGTGTTTCAGGCACATTGTCTCCATGGTATCTTTGAGCAAACATGAAGGGTGACTCACTTTACCTAATTAGATTAATGGAATGTTAGCTTAAGAGTTATTATTGTTGGTGACAAATGTCGCCTTTGTGCCCATGGGCTGGTGCCTCTATCTCACATGTCAAGTGCAAGAACAAATAGCCATTGCTCACCATAGCCAATTCAGGTGTTGCTTTTCCTGTGTCTGGACAAAGAAGACCATTATTCCTTAGCTGGTTGCAGAGTGGAGGCACTATCTGTGAGGACTGTCCCAGAACGCTGAGGTAGATGATGTGCTTAGAGTCACACTTTAGTCCAGACAGCACATTAGGTAGAGGAAGACTGCAGCAAAGAGTCTGGTAGGCTCAACCTTCCTTGGCATCCTCAGAGTGATCCTGGGATGCAATGATCCTGGGATGCATTGGTGTCTTTCTGGTCTTCACTGGAGACTTTCACAGAAAGGAAAACACCCGGCTTCAGTTTCCAGGCCAGGGCACAGTAGGCAAATGCTTCAGAGAGACAAAGATGAAGGCAGAGGCAGGGCTTACTGCCTTAGCTTGTGAACAGCCACAGATACCTGGTATCAGTCTAAGACAGGAAAGGGGAAGAAGACAGCTCTTCATATCACCCCAGGAAGAGACCCTTTCCTCTGGCTCCTATCAATGTTGCAATAATCATAGGATGCCCAAAAGCTTCAGCACAGGAAAAATAAAATGGAGTAGTTAAGTAAGTTAAGTAAGAGCTCAGAGAAGGCACAGACTTTCCTCTGGTGAGTCTTCTCTCCTCCCCTGTCATTAGCAAGACAGTGAGTGAATAGATGTTTGTGGCTCCAGCTGTGTGTACAGCATGAGGTTGAGAACATTGTGTTCCACACCTGCTCATCATGTTCAGATGGGTAAGAGTGTTGTGTTTAAGTACCATCTCTTGTGGGGGTGGGTAGAGGGAAGCTTGTCTTTGACTGTGTGGCAGATTTCTATTTGAGAGAGTTTTCCAAGCTAATAGGTATGTAGTTTTTCCTTAGACAATCAAATCTTCCAAAACAACAAACAAAAACCCCAAACCAAAACAACAGTAGTAGTAATAATTTTCTCTCCTACTCAGCTCTCCATTTCTGTTAAATTGAAGTTACCATCATTGTAAGTGGATTAACTACCTTTCATTGATGTAGCTAAATAACTAACAGAAACAACTCATGAGGCTCACATTTCAGAAGGAAAGAACATCATGGTAGCAAGGAGCTTGCCTCATGCCCAAGGGGAAACAGACAAGGACCAGGCATGACCTTCAAAGGCATATTAGTTACTTTACTTTTCTTTCTTTCTCTCTCTCTCTCTCTCTCTCTCTCTTTCCCCAGTTTTTTTGAGACAGATTTTTTTTTTTCTGTGTGTAGCCTTGACTATTCCAGAACTTGCTTGTAGACCAGGCTGACCTCAAACTCCTAGAGATTCATCTGCCTCTGCCTCCCAAGTTCGGGGGATAAATGTGTGCACCATCACTAGCAATGTAAGGAAGAAGGTTCCTGCTGCCACATAGTTTGATGGCCTACAGTCCATCATGGTGGCCGGCGGGCAAGGAGGCTCATGTCTTAGCCCTCACCCACAGTCAAGGACCTGAGGAGTGATCAAGAAGTCAGGCTGTCCCCAGTGACTCACTTCCTCCAGTAAAGCTCCGCCTCCTAAAGGATCCACAACTTCCTAAGCAGTGCTGCCAACTGAGGCCACTTGTTCTAACACATGGGCCTGTGGGAAACATGCCACATTCTAACCACAGCAAAAGGCATGCCCTCAATGACTTATCTTCTTCAGCTAAGTCTCACCGTATGTTGCCACAACCTCCCGGGATCAGACTGTGAGGAACATTTTGTATTCAAGCTCTGTAACATTAGGGCTGAGATGCTGAGGCACATTTGGATCTTGCTTGACACTGGAACTGGCTGTAATTTGAAGACCAACAGATTGTTTAGCTTAAGCAATATTCACTTTTTTGGCAATCATCTAACTGACACAATTAGATTACCTCTGTTGACTTAAATGTTCCATGTAGGAAAAAATACAAAATGAGAGGGTCTTTGTCTCGGGTTTCTATTGCTGTGAAGAGATACCATGGCCTTGGCAACTCTCATAAAGGAAAACTGGCTTACAGTTCAGAAGTTTAGTCCATTATCATCATGAAAAGCAGCATGGCAGCGTGCAGGCAGACATGGTGCCGAAGAGGTAGCTGAGAGTTCTACATCTGGATCCACAGGAAGCAGGAAGAGAAAGTGACTCTGGGCCTGGCTTGAGCATCTGAAGCCTCAAAGTGTGCCTCAGTGACACACTTCCTTCAGCAAGGCCACACCTACCTCAGCAAGGCCACACCACCTAATAGTGGCACTTCCTGTGAGCATATGGGGGTCATTTTCGTTCGTAGCACAGCTGAATCCTGATTTGCGACTGAAGTATTAGACATCTTGGTCATCTACTTGTGGGCCTGTTGCCTTGTTACCTCAGTCAAATGTGGAACTCATTCTTTCATTCATCTCACAAGCATTTATAAAGTCCTGTGTATTGTGTATGTATTTATTGAATTACTTAGTTGTTAAAAATGCAAGCACCAGACCCCCACTTTAATCCTAGTAAACTGGTATTCTCAAGGGGTCTGTTCCAGAAATATTTATTCAGTGGTGCTGGGCATAGAACCCAGGGCCTCATACAAACTAGAAATCTCTTCCCCCAGAAATGTCATTTGTAAGCATCCCTCTTCAGAGGTGTTCCACAATTAAAAGGCGAGCCCACCTTGTGTGTGAGTGGGTAGGCCTGAAGAGTAGTTTATTCAGGCTAATACTGATACCCAGGAGAGGAGCAGTTCTCATCTCTGCCTGCACTCTCTCAGAGACCATGAGAACTATTCAGCCTCCATACAGTGTGCCCAGTGCTACGCCAGGACATGGAGCATGGGAAGCAGAGTGGGACATACATTGTGCCCACACATACCCTGCTATAGTAGTCACAGCTGGAGGAGAAGACAGGGATAGAGGGGTCACTTCCCAACCCCTTCCTTCCAAAAGGATCAAAGTCATTATGTAACAGAGGATTGCCATCATGTCTGCATCTCCCAAGTGCTGGGTTACAGGTGTGTGCCACCCTGCTTGGCCTATGTAGCCAGGGTGCTGAGGATTGAACCCAAGGCTTTATACATGCTGAGTAAGTACTCCCCAGGAACTACGTTCACAGCTCAGCTCTCTAGATGGGCCTTTGCCAATGCTCAGAGGGCAGAGCCTTACAGTTTGGTCAGGTGGTGGTGGAAAATTTCTTGGGCTTCCATTCAGGAAACAAAGTCCAATAAATGGCTGGCAATGTACTTAACCTTGCTGACCTTATTTTCCCCATTTATATAAGCAAATGGGTGGACAAAATAACATCTAGCTTAGAAACTGTGTGCCATTGTGCTGACCTGTGGTCAGTGCTAGGAAGCGGCGTCTTGGTTTTTATTTTTACTAATAGCTATAGACCTTCGTGGGTAAATCCCGAGGTGGCCTCCTTCAGGCCACCAATGCCAGCATCCACTGTTTGAACTGCCTGAGCTCCTTTGGGGTCTGTGAGATCACTCTAGAGGCCTGCATAGCTGAGATTCAGGGCTGTGATCCTCAACCCAAGCTCATTCTTTGTAGCTTCATTGGCTTTACAAAAATCTTCACATATTTTGGACACTTTCAGTCATGTCTCCAAATGAGCACACTGGCAATGCTCCAGCTCCTGCCCAGCAGCTCAGAGCAGAGCTTTAAGACAAGGAACAAGCATCTCAACAGAGAGAGGACAGGCAACTTCCTTGGTTTTCTTGAGACTCTGAGGAAGTTGTCTCAGCATGGTGACTGGGGCAGAGCCTGCCCACCAGGGGGAGGGGTGGGAGTAAAGGTGCCGAATTCAAATGAGACACCGGAGAAGGAGTCAGGAGAATCATACTGTATCGCCAACGGAGGGGGGGGGGGGGCGTCGATGACGACGACGACTCAGGGTCAAAGTCAGTATTTAGCCCACAGTCTTCAGCCAGACCTGAGCCTGTACCTGGTTGGCCAGGGAAGCCTTTGCTCAGGTCGGCTTGGACCTTGGCTCCTGGCTTGGATGACTGCACGTAACATTTGGATCTAGTGATCTCTTCAGTATGACAGATGCTTCTTCAGGTCTTATGTCCACTCTGCTGATCTTTCCTGCTCTCTGGGACTTCATGCTCTGCCTGCTGCTCCTTGGAATCGTGCAGATGACATAGTGAATCTGGTGCTACCAATACTCCTGCCTGAGGTGGGACATCCAGCGTGCTTGGAGACCTTGCCGTTCACTCTCATGCGCCTACCTTTCTTATCATTTTTGGCAGCGCCCTGCCCTCACTGACAGATGCTGTGTAGAAGTGTGTGTGTGTGTGTGTGTTGGGGGCAGAGGGGTAGGCCCGTGTACGTGGAGTGAGAGTTTAACAATTTTTTTACATTTAATTGTGCAAATGTGAAATATAGTGTGTTAAGTATGTACTGACTGGGTCGGGTGGGTAGCACCTCTTTCCAGAACTGTAAAAACCCTTTTGAGTGACAATATTAGCTGCATACATTTGCGGAGCGCAGTGTGACCCTTTAACGCGGGCACACAGTAGGTGCTGATTAAAGCAGCGGGCTGAAGGCTTCCATGCACTGGCACGCCTCTGTTCCAGCTCTTCATAAAAGAGCTGTATCTCAACAGCTGCTCAACAGTTCCAGCAGGTGAAAGCTGGGCAGAGAGGAAGGTCCAAGAATCACATGCGTAGGAGGTTCCGAGCCTCACTCTCGTTGGAGGTAGACACATACAATCCGAAGATTTCTGCGACACGACACAGTGCAGTTTAAAATCTGGGTGTCGTTCCCCCCCCCCTCCCCCGCCACCTTAGATCCAAACTTGTCCCAAGGCAGGAGAAGATGCAGCAAAGGACTAGAGACTGGCGCCCTCAAGTCGCTTTCCAGCCGTGACGACCAGTGGCCAGCAGGTGTCAGTGCGCTCTCGTTCTGTCAGGGATCTGGGCCTACCCCTCCGGGACCCTTCCCCACCGCGGTTCACAGGGGCGCGGTGCGGACTGCAGGCCACCAGGGCCGCGTAGACAGCTCTATAGCTGCGAGGATAGAGTCCTTCTCTTCCCCAAGTATTCGTAACTCTGGCCTAGCCTCCTCACGCGTGGGTGCTCGTCCATTCCGCTCCAGTGCTTCCTTCGCAACCTGCACATGCTTACCTCTCCAGGAGCCTTTCATCCCGGCCGTTAGGAGTGCCCGAGCCTGGGTCCGGGATGCTTAGCCGGCGATCCTTCCGCAACGCTGCATCTCCTGTTCGGGTCCCAGCACCCTGGCACTCTTTCCTACCGGAACCCCGCTAGATCTGTGCGCTCCTGGGTGCCCGCTACCGTCTCCTGGGCCAGCCAGTAGCTGCAAGGCCAACTCCCAGCAGGGGCCGCTCCCCACTCCTAGCCTCTTCCTAAGGACCCTCTCTCACCGTACCCGCCTATCCAAAAGGCCGGTCCAACCTACGAGGCAGAGCTCTCTGGGGTCCGACGCGGATGCGGGCTCTAGACCTAAGGAGGGGAGGCGCGAGGGGCGGAGGAGGGTCGGCTTCCCACGTGGGGGCTGACGCCGGCTGCTCGGCAACGCCGGCTTCATCCCGGGGCTATAAAACCAGTCCACCCCAGCGCGGCGGAGCAGCAGCGGCTCCCTGTTCGGCGCAGCCACCGGCAGCCGTCGCCCGCCGCCCGCCGCCCCAGCGCCGTCAGCCGCCAGTCCCGCGTCCTGCTAAAACTCTCGCGCTCCTCCGACCCCCGCCGGCTGCGCTGCGCTCGGCGCCCGCCGCTCCCGGGAGCAGCCGCCCTCGCCTCGGCCGCGGCTCCGGGAGAGCGACCGCTCCCCTGGCTCGGCCCCGAGGACGGAGCTGGGGCGCCTTCATGCGGCCCCCGCACCCTGCACCCCTCCACCGCCCCCGGCCCCGAGCTCCGCGCGCCCAGCCCCAGCCCCAGCAGGGCGCGCAACTTTGGAAGTCCCGCGGCGCTCCGAGAGGAGGCAGCGCCCGGCCCGCACCACCGCGCCCGGCGGGAGCGACCCAGTCGGACATCTCTTGGAGGGTGTAAGGAGACCGACCTAGGACCCCGAGCCCGCACCAGCACCCCTCCGCCGCCTCTTGGGGGTAAGACTTCCTGCTTTCGCTTAGCTTAAGAGTCGAGGTGTAGACGCCTGTTTAAATACATTTGTATCATTTTCTGACATTTTCCCAAGTCACCAGGCCACCGATCATTTCTTTTCTCTTTTCTTGAAGAAAAAAATTCTCTCGCCACCAGCTGGCCCTACCCTGTCCTGCCACTTAGAAATAAAACTTGGCCACTCCGGAGGAGCGGGGAGAGGGAAGGCGTCCGCGCGGAGCGTCGGAGGCACAGCGGGCAGCAGCCCATGGACCAGTAGCGGCGCCCAGCTTGGGCCCGGGCTCCCCGCGGCCCTCTCCTTATGTGAGGCGCGGCGGGCCGAGCCGCGCGCCGGAGGAAGAGGAGGACCCACGGCCGCGGGGCCGGAAGGCGGCTGGCAGCAGGCCCGGGAGCAGCGCGCCGCGTTCATGTTCCGCCAGGAGCAGCCGCTGGCCGAGGGCAGCTTCGCGCCCATGGGCTCCCTGCAGCCGGACGCGGGCAACGGCAGCTGGAACGGGAGCGAGGCGCCCGGGGGCGGCGCCCGGGCCACCCCTTACTCCCTGCAGGTGACGCTGACGCTGGTGTGCCTGGCTGGCCTGCTGATGCTGTTCACGGTGTTCGGCAACGTGCTGGTTATCATCGCCGTGTTCACCAGCCGCGCGCTCAAGGCGCCCCAGAACCTCTTCCTGGTGTCCCTGGCCTCAGCGGACATCCTGGTGGCCACGCTGGTCATTCCTTTCTCTTTGGCCAACGAGGTGATGGGTTATTGGTACTTCGGGAAGGTGTGGTGCGAGATCTACCTGGCTCTCGACGTGCTCTTCTGCACGTCGTCCATCGTGCACCTGTGCGCCATCAGCCTGGACCGCTACTGGTCCATCACGCAGGCCATCGAGTACAACCTGAAGCGCACGCCGCGCCGCATCAAGGCCATCATTGTCACCGTGTGGGTCATCTCGGCCGTCATCTCCTTCCCGCCGCTCATCTCCATAGAGAAGAAGGGCGCGGGCGGCGGGCCGCAGCCGGCCGAGCCGAGCTGCAAGATCAACGACCAGAAGTGGTACGTCATCTCGTCGTCCATCGGCTCCTTCTTCGCGCCTTGCCTCATCATGATCCTGGTCTACGTGCGCATCTACCAGATCGCCAAGCGGCGCACCCGCGTGCCGCCCAGCCGCCGGGGCCCGGACGCCTGCTCGGCGCCGCCGGGGGAGGCCGAGCGCAGACCCAACGGCCTGGGCCCGGAGCGCGGCGCGGGCGCCGAGGCCGAGCCGCTGCCCGCCCAGCTCAACGGCGCCCCGGGGGAGCCCGCGCCCGCGGGGCCCCGCGACCGGGATGCGCTGGACCTGGAGGAGAGCTCGTCGTCCGAGCACGCCGAGCGCCCGCCGGGGCCCCGTCGACCCGAGCGCGGGCCCCGGGCCAAGGGCAAGCCCCGGCCGAGCCAGGTGAAGCCGGGGGACAGCCTGGCGCGGCGCGGGCCCGCGGGGCCGGGGCCGGGGCCGGGAGAGGAGCGCGGCGGCGCCGCCAAAGCGTCGCGCTGGCGCGGGCGGCAGAACCGCGAGAAGCGCTTCACGTTCGTGCTGGCCGTGGTCATCGGCGTGTTTGTGGTGTGCTGGTTCCCGTTCTTCTTCACCTACACGCTCATAGCGGTCGGCTGCCCCGTGCCCTACCAGCTCTTCAACTTCTTCTTCTGGTTCGGCTACTGCAACAGCTCCCTGAACCCGGTTATCTACACCATCTTCAACCACGACTTCCGCCGCGCCTTCAAGAAGATCCTCTGCCGCGGGGACAGAAAGCGCATCGTGTGAGCGCGGGCCCTGCCCTGCTCACGGACACTGGCACGATGCAGGCGCCGGGCTTTGAGGGGGCGCGTCTGCGCTTGCAGCCCCAGCACTCCGAAACCCCGGAGCCTTCTGCTCCACGTTTTATCTAGCTCGGAGGGAAGTTCTGGCTGAGAGGGACACACACACGCCTTTTGGCAGTTGTCATGGTTGTTCCGACCTCGGCCGTTTTCCTGGGGCTCCCACTGATCAGTATTGTTTCTGATGCTATTGTCACCCTCTCCCCTAGTCTGACTCTCCCAAGCTCTTCCAAGCAAGCGCTCTACTAGAGAGGGCCTGGCTGCCAAAGGGTTAATGACCAAGATTTCCTAGCCATGGCTAATTACCACCCTCCCACCTTTAAAAAAACCCCTCCAGGGCAGCCCTGCCTGCCCTCCCCAGCCCCGCTGTAAATATACATTATTTTTTATAGCGTACTTTGGGTTCCTCCGCGTTGGCCTTGACGCAATGTTGGAATCATGGCTGTGCAGACACCCTCCAGTCAGACACAGAAGGTGGCTGATCCGGTCCAGACCAAACTCTTTGCAATGCAAGCCCTTTTCTAGTGTCATTCTGTTGCTCTCAGTGCTTTTCACCAGTAACTGGTGACTGTCTCTTGGACACGGACCTGCTTTGAGATTTCCTGACATGGAATGGATTCTGTTCATTTTTCCCCCGTGCCTAACAGCATAATTGCCTTTTCCTATGTAAATATTACAGCGATGGACCAAGACAGAAGGAAATGAACCTTCCGCCTTGCATCAGCCCTGTGTATAAAGCCATTATTCTCTGAGGCACCATTTGCCCCAGTAACTCACTTTCAAACAGACTTTGCCGTTCTTCCCTCCTTTGGGGCCAAGGCTTGAAGAAGAGTGTGTCTGTTTGTATCTTGTATGTGTGCGGCCCTCCCCAGAAAGTGCTGACTAAGGCAGAATCATCTAGCTGCTGTTTTTAGACACACAGGAGTGGAAATTATGTGGAAGAAACAAACCTGATACGATTTGCCAAGGTAAACAGTGAGAGAAGACAAATGGGCCTCACTGTACAGTGCCAAGAGCTCTTAGGTATCAAAGTGTTACCTTCCCCCCGCTTTTCTGGCTGAGATCATGTCACTAATGAATTGCCAAAGTCAGGGAGTGGGCAGAGACTTCGTGTTTACAACCCAGTTTCTACTTATTCTAGGTGGACAGTGGGAGGCCTGTGCTGATTTCAAAAAGAAAAACTAAATGTCGGCACTTGTTGCTCAAGACAAATAAAGTTTACAGATCAAATGTGAAATAAACATGGATTAAGTGGTCCTCCTGTCTGGATTGAGTTTTCGAGTCTTTGAGCGATGGGGTTATCTGGTAACACACTTTGTTTGAGCGATGGGATTATCTGGTAACACACCTTGTTTGAGCGATGGGGTTATCTGGTAACACACAGTGTGTGAACCCCTGAGCAGATACAAACAACTGTGTGTTGCTGCCAGCTAGCCAGTGTGTGCCTATCGGAGACACCGCCTTCTCGAGTCTTTTCAGGAATGCTAGGAGTTAAACCCTGTTGTTATTTCCATTTTACAGGTAGAGGAAGAGTGCAGAGGGCAACTGGCTGACTCAGTTAGCAGGTGTGTACATTCACCTTATTCTGTTCCATCCGGGTGAAACGTCTGCGCCCTGACCCCGGGGTTCCCACAGGGGTGTGAATACTCCTCTGAACGTTAGTGCACCGCACACCCAGGGGAGGGCACCCAGTGTGCGGTTGTATGTACCCCAAAGTGTCTCCATGTCCCAAATAGCTGTACTCCTTAGAGTGTAGATCTGTCCCGAAGTGTGACATGTGTGTACGAGAGCCTGACTACGCTTCAGATGGGCAGCATACCGTGAAGGTGCTAACAGACACTCCACAGTAAACACTCCACAGCCTGGCAGAGGCACCTGAATATGTTAGTTGGTGGTTGAATTCTCTCTAGCAGAGGCATGCTCTCTTGTTCTCTGTCTCCCATCAATATCTACTCCTTTGCTTCAGAGGGTTCAAGACCCTCACAACAGTTGTTACAGCACTTTAATGCCAGAAAGGTCTTGGAGATATGATGAGCCCAGTTCCTACCACAGCTGAGAGTGTGGGCCGGCGGAATTAGCTTGCTTAGGGTCCCACAGATGTAGGTAATGAAGCCTTGGCCTCAGGCAGCCCTGAGTTAGGAAGCTGCTGGGCCCTATAAAGGCTGTGTGGAAGGTCTCCTGCTGTGGCTGGGTGGCGAGGTCTCAGTGAGGAGCTGGGTTTGAGGGACAAAGACGAAGGCGTGATGTGGTTTTGATGGGGGAACAGACTTTGGAAGCACATGTGGGCTGTGTGCAGACCTGCCCTGCACGCTCCAGCAGTGGATGCCAAGTGCCTTCTGGACGTTGGTACGGTGAAGAGGTGTGTGCTGGGACCGAAGGTGGCTGGCTCTGGGGGAGACCCAGGGCTGAGGAACCTGGGAGAGGAGGAACCTGGGAGAGGAGGTCCCGTGGTCGTTTGGGCTCTCCAAGCAGACTGGAGAGAAGGCAGGTGCTTGACTCTAGTCACCCTTGTTCAGGGGCTTCACAAATCACCCTCAAGGCCTGCTAAGACTGGCTCCCTGGCTGAGGCTGAGGCCTGCTCCCACTCTACCTCGCCCAGGCTCCAATCCCTCTGTTCTAGGGCACCCAAAGGCAAACAGTGCTAGACAATAGGCCAGCTTGGCAGGCCTCCAGGACCAGAGCGGTGTGACCAGGCATGGAGACAGATAGACACATAGCTCACTGTTGGCTTTATTCTGCCCTGCTTGCTGAGGAAGCATTTGCCTTGCCTGTATCCTCAGGGGCCAGTTGCTGCCTAGAAGGAAAAGTGAAGGCAGTGTGTGTATGAGGATGGTCTGGGATCTCGGCATCTCCCATACATTAGCAGAAAAGCCTTAGAAATGGGTTCAGCCTAGAAAATGAGGACTTGAGGGCTGGAGCCCAAGCTCACTTACTGCATTTCTGAGTTCACAGTGAGGCTTGCTGTTCATGGTAAAGAGCCTAGTGCCATGCTGGGCACTGCGTGACAGTTCTCCTTTCCTGCATGCACCGTGTTAAGTCGTCCTTTCGTCCTGTGGGAGCTGGCAGTTTTCACTACTTTCCATGAGCTTCAGTGTAACGGCACAGAGGAGGGATACGGTCAGAAAGGAGGTGCCGGTGCAGCCACTGACACTTGGCAGAGGGCAGGGCGTGGCGATTGGCATTAGCTCCAGCACCCCCAGAATCAGCTAAGGCCTTGGCTTTGGTTTCAACAGCCTGTTCTTGGGGGTGGCAAGGCCAGCTCCTGGCTTTACTCAGAATATGTTAAAAGAATCGCCCTTCTTATCCTACACCAGGACCCTGTTCATTCCAGAGTTAGGGCTCAGTGCCAGCTTGCTCTCAGTACCCACCCTGGGCTCTGACAATCTTCAAGTGGGCCTGAGAGTCTGGGATGCAAAAAGCCCACCCTCAGCAAAGGCTGGGAGCCAGGCCACATGACCGCACAGAGTCACAAACATCAGAGTTCAGTTTGGACATAAAACATCGATCCCTTCAATCGATAAAACCCTGGGGGTTAGAGTTCGATACAGGAAGGGGAACAGGGCCTATTAGACAGAAAGTAGATGAAGAAGGCCAGGTTTCTGGTCTTAGTTTTGCCATCAACTAGATATGTGACCTTGAGCCCATCTCTTTGAGGGATTTGTAAAGCAAGCTCGTTGATTATTTAGACAAGTATTCTGTGGGGCTAATTAACTCTATCTCTAGTCTATCCGTGTATCTATGTATCCATCCATTATCTATCAAACATCTCACATAAAGCCATCAGCTTTAGATCTATCATCAGCCTGTGACTACTTGTCTTCTATGTAGTCATCTGTTTATCATTTATATAGTGACTTTAAACATTTTTTAAAATTATAATGACATCATTTCCCTCTTCCCTTTCCTCCCTCCAAACCCTTCCACCTCCCTCCACACTTACCACCTCTTTGCTCTTCTTGATTTTTCCTTTCAAATTCATGGCCTCTTTTTCTTCCATTGTTGTGGTGTGTATGCAGAGCATGTGTATATTCTTAAATACACAGGCCGTATCAGTCCACAGAATGTAATTTTGACAGGTCCTTTTAGTGACATAGCGTGCTGTGTTTCACAAGCTATAGTGAGTCATGTTTGCTGGGACACTTGGCTCAGGGATCACTTGGGGCTTTTCTGCTGATGCATTAACAATGATATAAAATGCTAAGTCTGTCCTCCCCTGTCTCTGGCCGATGAGGCAGGTGTAGGAACAGGTCCTGTTCTTCTTGAGGACAGGCATTTTCAGGAGCATTGAACTCAATAAGGGTCACAATTGTGTTGTGGTTTGCAGATGTGGCCCCCCTCCCCCACGTGTGTACATGCATGTGTGTGTGCTTTCATGGGAATACCTGGGTGTATGCACACTCATGCACACGTACATGAAAAGGTGGATATGTGTGTCAGAAGAGGAAGCTGCAAAGGAAGATCAAGGGCAGCATGAAGTAGGCTCACAGACTCTAGCTGCAAAGAGCCCCGCCCCCTCAAGCTTAGAGCACACTCCCTGGGCCAGAGTGTTGCCCTTGACCAGGGTAACAGTACTGAACTAGAGCAGCAATGATGGATATGGGCACCTTGGCTAGGTCAACACTAGTTCTCAGTGCCATTTTTTTTTTCAGCATCCATGCCTTTTCTGCTTTCTGTGGAAGTGAAGAGTTGTCCAACTGCATGGAATTCTAGGGAAGGAGGGGGCCAGGCTGGTGGCCAAGTGCTCTTTCCAGCTTGGTCAAAACTAGAAATGTAGGACATCTTTGCAATCTGGATCTGAGCAAAAAAGATGGCACACTGAGAAAGGGTAAATGAAAGGAGATTGAGGGTTGTTCACAGGTGCAGTCATGGTTGGGAAACACCTCTAAGGAACACTGTGTAGAGCTTTTAGCACCTTAGGCCCAAGGGAATGGGCAAGGCTGATGCTGATCAAACTACTACAGCTCAGGCTGCAGGGCTGGTCTTCGCAGACGCCACCAAGGACAGGCCATTTCAGCCATTGCCAG